GTACAGGACCTTCCTTGCACACTCGCTCTTCGACTATACATAAATTTAAGAACGATCGTCTTGTAATACGTTTTCTCTCACTTGTGCGTTTATCTCTGTTCTTTAAGCAAATTTAAATTAATCTACTTGCGCATCGAAGCTTTCCGAAACACAGTGTGTGGCCACTTCGTTACACCCTCAGAAAAGGTATCTGTTATCCAAACTAAAAATATTCTTGACGCATTTATATTTCTCACAACTTCATTTAGTATAATAAGACAATATCAAAATAAAATCAATAATTCTTATTCTCCTCTATCGAATTAAAAAAGATTGACTTACTATATTGAGACAAGAGTAACTTTATATATTCTTGCGTTTAGAATAAATTTTCCCTCCATCTTACAACGCACGAAGTTGGCACCACGATATTCGACAAAAAGACAATTCTAGATTACAAAATTTTTCATTTAAGTTTAAAATATTCCTTTCTCTGTCATAAATATGATTGACACAAAATCGATCTTATTTTATGACACATTCAAATGTAATAGCATTGGATCCGGAAATGTTTTCTGTGGGTGTAATGTCAAGCTCTTGAATATTAGTTCTTACGTATTTTTATAAATCTATATTGGACAAAATTTGTATAAATTGGAAATCTGGTAGATTGAAAAAAGGCCCGGTCTCACCAACGTCACTTAACTTTCCTCTTAGTTCAACTCATCCTCTGTCTCTCCAACTGTTCCCTAAGAAAGAATGAGTTAAAATTAAAGTTACGCAAGGTCGGTGAAACCGGGCGTAACTGTAACTCTATCGAACGTTTTAGCTATCGAATCCATAACGATAACCAGAAATCCTGTCTCGTTTAATCTGTTACATGTACACGTTTTATTGATACAATCAAAATAGGGTATTGATACCCTGGCTGAGGTAATCTTTTTCGCAATAAATTTAAAATATGAAATATTTAGACACTAACACCCTGTCACGGCTCTTAGTCCTTTATTCCTTCAAATTTGTGTTTACCACATTTGAGCCATACGAATTTTATTAATTTGACGATCAAAATAATTTTCAAACAATCAATGTAGGAGCGAATGTCTTGTAATACGTTTCTCCTCGCTCCGTTAATCTCTTTTTCAATCGAACTTGAATTAATCTACTTGCGCACTAGAATATTCCGAAGAAACTTTCCAAAAATGTTCTGCGTGTGCCCTGTTCATTATTGTCATTAATCTTTCTAGGGGTAAATAATAAAATATAATTTTAAAACGGTACTTTCGCGGCACGAAAGACTGTCGCCTCAAACTAATTTCACAAGCATCGGTAATTGCTAATCAAAGATTAGTCGACTCCCCGTCTGTTTTTATACTATCGTCTAAGAAGAGGCAGGGAGAATCGATTAACCACCAATTAGCAGTTACCGGCGCTTGTGAAACTAATCCTAAATGAATTAAAGTAACTCGGAAAGGGATCGGAGAAGAATTTCCCGCAGAAACGTTCGACGGCTCTCGCAAAGGGTTCTCGCTCGAGAATATCGGCTGACTGTGAGAGGCAGAGCGTGGCTCGGGCCATGTTGTTTACGAGCAGCCGACGTGGTCGTTTGCCGTCGTATATTTACCCCGATCGGAGAATCGGGTCCACCGCAAAGAAACCGCCGTAGTAGCCGACGCACAATGCGCCGTGTCACACGGCGCTGGAAAGGAGTTCACAATGATCGCGTCGGATATCGCCGCGGGGCGTCTCACACTTGCGCGCGCTCTCGACATTCAGACTTCGGGGGCTCTTTCACTCACGTTTTGCACGGCGATTCGCATAAAGCCTATCGCCTAATTACGCCATAATACTGCGTGAGGGAGACGCGCGGGGGAGAGGGAGAGGGCAGAAACGAGCGACCGAATAGACACCATGACGGGACGGTGTGTGCGAGAGGGATGAAACTAGGATGAAACTAGAGAGAGAGAGAGAGCGAGACAGCGAGAGGGAGGGATTTACGCGTACGCACGTCGCGTAAATTCGCGACGTGCTATTCAATCGCGCTCGTCTCCGGCACCTGCGGTGCGGAGGGTGAGGCGCCTAGCGCTTTAAGCCGCATTACACGCTACGTGCGTGCAATCTGCATTCCCGCTCGCGCGACGCGCATTCGCCTGCCGCGGCTGATACCGCGAGCTGTGTTAATCAGCGGGATGAACCATCGGGCGGATCCGGGGGGCTGCGTTTGCCGCGCAGCGAGCGATTAACGGCGCGTTCTCGCGGCGTTCAATTAGCCCCGCGCGCGCGCTCGAGCACCTGAGACGCCGCTGGGTACCGTCGAGGGGTGTAAGGCACTGCGGCGTCTTGAGCGCCGGTACGCGAGGCAAAGAGTCCCGGCCGCGATCGGGAGGATTGGATATTTACCAGAGGCGTACACAGCCGAGGGGATGATATCTACTCCCCTCTGGAATATTAAGAAATAAAGAAAGAGCGCGCGAAAGAGAACTTTCCCGACACACGCCTATTATCCCTGGTCGCGATGAGGAAACTTTTACCACCAAGAGGCATGTGAATTTGAATTTAGAAGTATTTAATTTTGGAAGGACCATTTTGAGCCTTCCGCTGGAAGAAATCCTCCGGTATCGCCCTCGATATTTATATCGATGATAATAAAGAGGGTCGCGTCTGCGTATGCAAATTAAGTAAAGTGCGGGCGACAACAACCGAGCGAAATTAGACGTTAAGATCAAATCATGGCGTTTACTCTGACAAATAAAGAGAAAAGGACAATTTTCCGAGACGTTTCGGAATTCACAGTCTTCATCAGCCGGACACACTTATATGTGTAATAAAATTAATCGAAATGCAAGCAGTTAATTAAGAGAATTACAGAAAATTGTAATGGAAAAGAGCAAAAATTAAAATGCGAGTCAAAACAAAACGATAAGAAGTCACGTCACTGTTGACAATAATCCTCGTTAAATAAAATTGAAACCTTACAATAAATATCTACCCTACAAAAATGAACAAGATAAGTTGAAAAGTCAGAATATGTATAAAAAGTCGAAAATGCCAAAAAGAAAAGAGTGACAAATCCTGAAGTAAAATACTTAGTAAATTAATTAGTGAAAAGATGTCTCGAGTCAATTAGCAAAAAGATCGTAGTCACACAAAAAGTGATTCTTATATCGATGTGCTTTCCGACAGGCAATGTTTCTAAATATTCCTCGTATGTCTTTCTTTTCGTGGGCAAGCAAAAGGGTTGAGTCTCAACGAACTGAATCTTAAGAATTTCTGTTTCTATCGGATTGAATTAATTTTTTTGTGTGAGAAAGACAGGTAAATTGTGCAAAGGCCAAGATGCTAATTAATATTACATTTCCCTAGTGTTTTAAAATGGATTTTTCTCAAAAATATTACGATGTACATCGTAAATACGGTCGTCATACGTTCAATATAATATCGTTTCCCTTACAGTATTCTTTGGATATTTTTAAAATGCTAAAAGAATCGTCACACTAAAAAATAGACATCATGGTTACATATACATATAACATCTATTTTCGTACTCCATTATTAAATACTAGTAGAATCACGAGTTCCGCGTTAAAAGATCCTACCATTTCATAAAAAGGGAAACGTAAACGTGAGCGCAACTAACAAAGTCTTCGTTGAAAAATAAAATAAGAAATTGCCGACGAATAAATTAAGCAAGATTCGCGCAGGATTGTACCAGGACGAAAGACGTAAACCGAGCGGGGTTCATCGACAGGTTAAATAATCTCTCCTTAAAGTTCAGCCGTCGCGACGGCCAGCGGGAACACTTTTCTGACGGATAATGTAATCAGAGACAACGAAATTTATCTACTGGAAATTTAATTTCAAATTTAATGCTCGCCTAAAAGACCCGTGGATTTATCTTTCCGCCTCCTCCCGGCTAATCACACGTACTTGACACACGATAACAGGTGTAGGATAAAGAAGAACTCGGTATCGCTAACAAAGGACGGGATGCTTTTTCTACATTGTCAGTCTGATCTGCAGTGTGTTCTTTGCGTCTAGAAACGTTCTATTTTGTATGAGTAAATCAAATCGCTTGCAAAATTTATCGACACGCTTGCACAATTGATCAACTTGGACAAATTTCTGAATTTATCGGCTACAAAATAGAATGACTGCGTTCGGTGGAAAAAGCTACATTGCAACAGTTGCAAAATTCGTAAATTTGATTGGAGCATGGCTCTTAGGCTCGTATTCTGAATCCTCTTTTATCGATAAGAGTGGCTGAGAAGCCTTCTGATTGGCTGCAAGCTACTTTTAGAAGCGTTTTTATCGACAAGTGAGGATTCAGGATACGGGCCTTAGATTCTGCCACAATTAAAAGCATAGCCTATCAGATTCAAGATTTTTCCAACAGTTGGAAAGCAGCTTTCTCCGCCGAACGCGACCAATGGCTGCGTTCAACAGAAAAAGCTGTAAAATTCGGAAATTTCATTGGAGTACGCTCTGAGATTCTGCCACAATCAAGAGCATACGCCAATCAGATTCAAGATTTCTCCAACAGTTGCAAAGCAGTAATATTCGTAAATTTCATTGGAGTACGCTCTGAGATTCTGCCACAATCAAGAGAACTCGCCAATCAGATTCAAGATTTATACAACAGTAGCAAAGCAGCTTTCTTCGTTGAACGCGACCAATGGCCTGCGTTCAGCAGAAAAAGCTGTAAATTTCGTAAATTTCGTTGGAGTATGCTCCGAGATTCTGCCGCGATCAAGAAGCGTACGCCGATCGTATTCACGATTTTGGTTGCAAAGCAGCTTTTACCCGCCTAACGCGGCTAATGGTTCCGGATGCAACGAGCACACTGTAGACCAGGCTCGAAGTTAAAATGGACCGTGGCGGCGGCAAAGAGGGGCGGAAAGGAGTTACAAGTTACAAAGTTGCGCAGCTAGTCCATGATTCTCGCGAGACAACGTCTCCAACTCCTCTTTCACTCGACACCCCCCTTTTAACCAGAGCTGCCCACAAAACACGTGATGACGTACCAAGAGCTGCCGACGGCCGACGGTGCCGGTGCGTCGATGTCCTCCGTTCGGCGAGAACCACCACTGCGAATCCGTTAGCCGGTTCCCGCTTTCGTCGCACCTCGCATATACGAATCACAGTCCCCGAGGGGGTGAGCGGGGGGCGGGGGGAGGGGGCGAGGGCGAGTTCTCGCGCGGCTCCGTCACTCGCGCGAGGAGGATCCGAAACACTCCGCGCTTCGGCTCGCGGGGATCCCCTCAGTCCCGCGACTAGCAGTCGGCGCTTTAAACGTTGACCGGTCAGCCCGTCACGGGGGTGGCGAAACGAATCTCGCGTTGAGCGCTGCCGGCCGCGCAGCGACCACGGGCTCCGCGGATGCACGGCTGTGTTAAAGCGCGCCGCGCTTGCCGATCCGCGCGAGTGCAGCACACGTGCTGCTCTGCAGCGTGGGCTCTTCTCCTCTCTCGTTTTCGTGAGAGATCCGTCGGAGACCGGAGGGCGGAGGGTGGCGCGGCGCGGCGCGACGCTACGCGAGGAGCTTGCACGCCTTCGGGCGCCTAAAGCTCAACGAGAGAGAGCGAGACAGAGAGAAAGAGAGACGTATACACGCGTACATATAGCGACGCGAATACGCAGAGAAAACGGGGGAGAGAGAGAGAGAGAGAGAGAGAGGAGAGGGCGGCGAGATGCGTGTTGGCTTGTCGGGCGAGAGAAAAGGCGAGAGAGCGCGGGACTAGCCGCGCTGGAAATATTATTAGGTAAAGCACACGCACGGACTGACACGCACCGACTCGCGGACTCTCGTTGGGTCGTGCCGCCGCGGTGGCCGCGGCCTCGTGTTGGTACGTCCGACTGCCGTTTTGGACCAATGGGCGGTGGGCGCGCGGGCCCCCCTCTCCGCGCTCGCGGCGCGCTGCGCGAGTGGAGGGGGGACTCCCGGCTCCGCTTCGTGACATCATCGATTCTGAATGGTGGAGATGCTCAACCGTGCGGAAGGTACATCGGAGGGCGCGTGCTGCGCGCGCAGTGCGCACGCGCGGCAACGTGCTGCGCGCACTGCAAGAAGGACGTGTACGCGGCCGGGGGGGATGCTGCCGCGTATCGCCGTCAGACGGAGACGGACCGCTACGCCGGGACGATATGCCGCGCGCGGTTCACCCCTCGGCGTTTCTTAATTATCCTCTTCTCTCTTTCTCTCATTTTGCCCTCGTTAGACGCGTCCGTCGATCTTTAATCGGGACCGATCATTTGTAATCCCGGGGCGTTGCATGCCGATCTGTCGCAATCGATGCTCGATTGAATACATCGGAAGCTTATTCGATAGTATTGTCGCTCTGAAACCTAGTGGTATGAGAAACGTCTCACTTCTTTCAGTGCTCGAACGCGTATGCTGGGACGTTATTCGTGCAACCTTTAAATTTGTGTAACTTTGCATTGTCGATAATTAAAATTGACAAATCGCTCTCTTAATTCTACACCCTCAGAAAGGATTTCTGTTACCGAGACAGCAAATGTTCTTGACGCATTTATATTTCTCGCAACCTCATTTAGTATAAAAATAAGACAATATCAAAATCAAATCAACGATTTTTATTCTCCTCTATCGAATTAAAAAAGATTGACTTACTATATTGAGACAAGAGTAACTTGTATAAATGTAAGTTTGTATATTCTTGCGTTTAGAATAAATTTTCCCTCCATCTTACGACGCACGAAGTTGGCACCGCGATATTCGACCAAAGACAATGCTAGATTTTAGAATTTTTCATTTAAGATTGGCGCTATATCGATCCTATTTTATGATACAGTGAAGTGCAATAGCGTTGGATCCAGAAACTTTTTCTGTGGGTGTAAATTCAATTATCCGAGTTTCTTATGTCGCGCCTACAAAATGGATCTTGACTTCAGCATAGTTTTATACTTTTCTTAAACACTATACGTTGAAGATTCCATTTCTACTTATATTGTGTTTCCTAAATTTGTATTAATTCACCCTTTCTTGATCCCGAATTTTGAATTCATGTAATTTTAAACGCTTTAAAACACACACTCTATTTTGTCACATTTTATGAAAAATAAAATGTCTACGTAACAAGGCATTTTCTTCAAAGAATTAAACGTGTGAAAGGCTGGAACTTTAGATTATCGATAAGGAAGTTATATGAAAATTATATTCCTGAGTTCTAGTAGTAAAGATTTTGGAAAGACACGCCTGCGCGACAATTGAAGTGGACATAATACGTTGCTGTAACAAACGGCTTGTTGGAACAACACTGTGGCACAATAAATATTCGACTCACAATGCACGTCAATTTGAATGAAATAATTTCATCCGCGGCATATTCCTAATTATGGATACAACACGACTACTTTCGGAGATAAGGCTGTATTATCTTTACACCTACTCGCGCGAACCAACCTTGACTGTCTGGATAAAAAAAGCAGCAATCAAATTTACACAAGGCATTTTTCTTTAAGATAAACCGCTTTCTTAATTCTAAATTGAATTATCTGATTTTATTATGTCGCGCCCAAAAAATGGATCATGATTTCAGCGTAGATTTATACTTTTCTTAAACATTATACGCTTAAGACTCCATTTCTGCTTATATGTTTCCTACATTTCATCAATTCGCCTTTTCTTGATCCTGAATTTTAAATTCGTGAAATTTAAAACGCTTTAAAACAGATATTCTAACGAAACGAAGAATAGAATAGAAAAAATGTAGACAGATAAAATTATCTAATGCTCGAGTATATCGCGGCGCGCTTTTATTTTCAACAATTCTTCGCACTTTCATGGATTTTGAGAAGTGAGGGTTGTAACAATCCCCGGAGGAAGGAAAGATGTATTTATAATACCACTTTTCAAGTGTTTTTCTTCTCGTATTTTTTCGAAGCAATTTTCAGCATACTGTAGTAAAAAGAAAAGCTGACAAGAGTCAAACGACTCTATTATCCGGAGTTATCCAAGGTAATTATGATGTCCTGCCCTGACAGGCCGGCAATCCGGATATTCTCAACCCTATGTGTCGTCATAAGTTTCCTTTTTTTTATACTTTGACTTTTGATAATAATGACTGTTTATCGTTGCTGACCACTTTACGCTGCCAACATTCGTTACACCCTGTGACTTTTGATTGTAGACGTATAAATTTATAGTATTTACTTGAGAAGGGCCGGAACTATTGGTCGAAACGTTGTGGATCTAACTTCAACATTGCCAGTTGTGGTCGATGAAAATACAGTATTTATTTATTGCCGGCGACGCACACAGAGTTTCAAATTTGTAATTATTATGTTTCGTAATCTACGAAAATGCTGGATCCATCGCCAGCTATTTGCTATCTATCCGCAGTCTACCTCTTGTTTAAAATACCTTTGAATTTTCGTCGACTTTCGCGACAGACGGAGACGAATTCCAAAGAAACGGAGGGAGCGCGGGCTTTACGTCGGAATTTCGCGTCGCTCGCGCTCCGAAAGCCGGGGAAAGGTACGTCTCGCGCGGAGGGATATTAAAATATAATTGGCGTTTGTCCCCTACGCGTGCAAAGCGGTATCTAGTCACGCGTGGACCGACCGACCGTGGGTGTTATGCACGCCAGAGTACGTCGCGCGCGGGGGTGATTCACCCTCTCTCTATGCCTCGGTGTGTCCCTACGGTCTTTCTCGCGGGACGGGGGACAGGGAGGATAGAGGTGGATGCATCCGCTCCCTCGTCGACGCGATGCGTAGGGCCGCAAGCTCATTTCACAGCGGAAACTTGCGAGCACTGCGAGACACGAGAGACCCTCGAGACGTTTTCTCCGAGAGCGATTAGTCTTCGGTCGAATTTTCACGGAAGCCGCCGCTTCCAATTGCGATATGGAAACAAAGATGATACGCGGCATCTATTGATCTTGGCAACTTGGAAACTGACTTACGTCGCTTTCAGACGAAATGAGGTATGTAATGGGTCGTACGAAGAAAGTGGAGCGAATGCTTTTATATTGATTTATCGAGGATGTTTCGAGAGGAGCTCGAATAACGACATTTGTCCGGGACTTTTATCCCGTTCGAATTTAAACCGTTTGTTTCTGTACACAGAAGTAACAATCAACAATCTTCAGGGGGTGATAAAACCAAGTAGATTGCACGAAAAATCAATACACATATATGCATATTCTGTTCGGAGATAAGGGATAGAAAATATAAAGACATATCTTTGCGAGATTCCAAGATTCCTCGAGGCACAATAATAATGCGCAAAGATGCATTACATATTGCAGATATTTCTACTGCACCGTTAATATACATGTAAATAAAACGTAAATTAAATGTAAAGCGATAAAATCACACAAACGTGTCTGCAAGAGATATAATATTTAAGTAGGATCTTTGATTAATTATATTAATGAAGTAAAATAAAATATTAATAACTGTACTAGCAAAGTAAGACCTTTGCATCTTGAAATTGTATTTCTTCTCTATATTTGCGATATGTGCGATAAAGCAACACCGATCTAACGACATCTAGCAAGAAAGAAATATCGAATTATGCCAGCGGTAAACGATACTATTTTTCCCACTGGATTGTTTGCGAGAGTCAATCGGGATTTAGCCTCAAGTCACCTGATCTGAAACTCTGCGTCCTTATTGGTTCTCGTAGGCAGTCCAGTAGGAAAAATAGTATCGTGTGGCGTTGGCTTTAGTTCCGGCAGACTTGATCAGTTCTGGGTAAGTTGTTCAGTTGTCGAATTTAAAAGAGATAATGAGTAAAGGATTGCATAAATTGAAGCACGACCGCAATCGCGTAAGGTGGACGTGTCACATGAACCCGATCAAACAGAATCGAACGAGTTACGAAGGTCAACCGTGGTGCGATTTGCGCCATAAGAAACTCAGAGAAGTTTACTCAAGTTATCTTCGCACTTCGCGAAAACTTCGGCGAAGATAACGGCGGCGAAATGAAAACAAGTTTCAACAGATGCTCGGAGTAATTTAGCAGCACCGAAGTACGTGGGTTCTCTACTTGCTATAAACGCGCCTCCTGATATTTTAGTACGTTGATCAGCCTTCTTGCTGATTGCAAGAGACCTCGAGCG